ATGGCAAAACAACAGAAGCAGAACAGACAAAATGAGGAAAAAAATTCACAAATGACAGCGCCAAAGTGAAAAGTACGAAAATAAATAAATAAACAAAAAATATTTGCTTTAGATGACCAACCGTTCACTATTGCTGGGGGGTGTTCTACAATAATTTTCCATCCATCCAGCATCCAGAGGGACCCCATCTGCAGTCCAAACGACGATACAGATATGAGGGCTGGCTAAAAAGACGTGTCTCCTCGGTAAAATGATTTCAGAGCAGGCTGCTTTAATTATCAAGAAATTTAGGTCAAGGCTTTGGCTGTCTGTGGTCAAAGACACAGCAAATGGAAGCTTTACAATTAAGATGCTCCAGTCATGGTTACAGAAGACTAAAGAATTAACAGCATCATGAACTGGTGTGATAGGCATTGCAGGGTCCTTCATGTTACAAAGAAACACTACCAGTCTAAAAGATTGGATGCTAGACCTCGGACAAAAACGTGTCAACAAAACAAGCACATTACGAAAACAAGGAGCCCACCGAGTGCTTTAAATGGCATGGACCGGCACTTCCACTACCAGCGGTCACTTAAAACACAACAGCAGGAGCAACACTGGTCTGCAGTGATGTAATCCTTCGCTTTCCCCTCCTCCCCCTACTCTCCATCCCCATCTAAATAAATTAGATGAAATAAATCACAGTGCAAGAATAATGACTCCAATCAATGTTCTGCACTCCCCCTTTTCCTCCTTTTGAATTTCAATCTACATTATTTTACTTTTTAGTGCAGCGAATCACTTTGCCAGACAACTGAGGAGTGCGTTTTTTGGTCCGTTTGATGCTGCAATCTATAAAATCTCTGTGAAGGTTCAGCGAGGGGTACGGTCTGTATCAGCACTCTCGCATTGCACCACCATTGCGTCCTGCCTCCTGCTGCCCAACCTTCATCATTACTCTCTACATCAAACCCCATGTTTAGAAACAGCTCCCCTAAGGCCTGTGCAGAGGCGTCCACCCTTTAAAACCAACCTGAAACACGGTTACCAGAACATTTCTCTTCATATTTTCTAATATCAGTGAATTAGGGCTGCGACTAATGATGATTTCCATATTAGACTAACCGGTTCGATTATCGGAAAGAGAAAAATTGGTAGCACAAAATTTCACATAATGTCTCTTTCAACAAATTAGAAATGCACAAATTATTCCTCCTTTTTCGACAGTGCTCTTTCACACACCTACCGAATCTTATAAACCATACTTTTATCTAGATGAACACAAATGCTGTTTTACTCAGTGTGAAAGGTGCAGGAACAACAAAGGAATGCATGAACAAATCTTACACAGCAGTCTAAGTACTCTTAGGGAGGTAGTTCTATTTTTCCTCTAATGAGGCAAAGATAAATTCTTTAGTTTGTGTGGTCGGAAACTAGATGTAATCAAACCTATATTAGATATTAGCGAGCACACAAGCAACCCGAATAGCCGTGTCAGGCATGCAGGGCCATAAAGCATGTTCACCGTTCAAATAGCAGTAACCGCGCACATGTTAACATTTTCAAAAACATCCATCCACATGATAACCTAAAAAAGTTTTATTTCCATCCTGGAGAGCATTTTCCAAAACCTGTGTTTTCAGGGATATTAGTTTTGTGCAGGCGGGAGGCCAAAACACAGAGACTGCATTCCAAAGCCTGCATTTCACATCATAGAAGGCCCAAAGTGAAGGAGTCTTCATATACAGCCTAGACATGGAGTCTACGTTCCAAAAGACTTCAAGGATGCAACAGATGTATCCTTCCAGGCCTTTGGTTACCCATAGTTCTCTGCACACAAACTGCGCAAAGGAAAACAAACAGCACCATGAAAATCACAGAAAATGAAGCCGTTGGAGCAGAACTTGTTTTAAAAAGTTGTTCATGTGCTTAAATTTGTCTTCATTACCTTATAAAGTGTAAAATGATTAATTAATTAAAGCATTCATCCACATATCGTATATCGTCCATATATCATATTTTATTTATTAGTATTTGTATATATGTAGTTTAGCGTACTACATAAGAACATCTCCTCCATTTCCATGAGGAAATAAAACAGCATCACATACAATGAACAGGCTTCATTTTCTCTCACCAGTTCCCTCACAAGTTTCGCGCCACAATTGCAAGAGGCGGGGCCTTTCTGGTGACATCACTATGCAGCCTCATTAGTACTGTTGCCAATATTGTGACCGACAGGCTACTAAGAAGTCTTCATAGGACAGTCCTACCAAGGATCCGCCCTACCTCAGCTGCAGCCTAGGCTGTAGAACACAGCTAGAGAAATGCAGAGAAACACAAAGAAACCCAGCACACTTTCGAAAAATATCTGTATGGATGAAGACAAACAGGTCTGTGCATTAGCACACTAGCAACCAATACATATAACTTAGCCATGCAGCTCAAACAAAAATGCAGCTCATCCTTTAAGACATCGTTGTTGTTAAAGTAGACAAGTTTTGACTACACTTTTACAGCAGATGCTCGCAATGCTGAGCTTTTGTCATTTTCTTATGTGACTGTGTTTTTAGACGATATTAAACTGAAGTGGTCCCATATTTTTGACTCTTTAAGCCGTGCATAACCCTGTACTGCAGTCTCCACCATCAGTGCTTTCCCACTTGCAATCAGGTGATGTAAATGGGGAGCACAAGCATCATCATGACAACTAAACACGATTCTAACAAGATCTGTTGCCAATGATTTTTTAACATCCACATTATCAATAACGCTGATTACCTGTTGCTTGCATACCTACAATTAACACACATTATTTTTGTTTATATTCAAAGCTCAATGCTTGGGACTGCCTCATAGCACCGGCACATGTATATCCCCACTTCAAAACATCCTTAAAGGACCAGCTAATTTCAAACACTCTCCATCATTAATACACATCACAAAACGCTTCGTCAGGCAGTCTCTAGTATCATCCTGCGGGCTGAAATCTTCAAAAACAAAAACCACTGAAAAAAGAAACAGAGATCACTGAACAGGGGTAAGGGCCAGATGGAATTTGTGAGCGGCTCGGCGGTTGGCGAGCTCTGTTGCCGGCATTAATCTCTTCCAGAGTTAAACACGGCCTATGGTGAAGATCTAATCAAAGCTTTCAAACGGGCGCGAGACACAGTGCCAGCGAGAGGGAGGACATTAAATATTGAAACAAGGGCTAATTAAGAGATGAGATGAAGGGAAATGAAAGAAAATGAAGCTGGAGGAATGGTGGAATGAAGGGAGGGAGGCAAAAGAGACAGAGACAGGGAACTGCATGCAGAGACGGGAAGAGGGAAAAGCCCTTCTGCCAAATTCAATATCTATGTTTTTCTCCTAGAAGTCAAGACCTCCAAAAATAGATCTGAGATGAGGCTCACGATGGTATGTTTTCCATCTTCAGCTGAAATGGCACCATTAGTCACATCAGTGAATGCATATAGCGCTCAACAATAACAAAAATTGTTTACATGATAATGGACACATCATCCTTCACTCTGGAATTAAAATGGACATTTTTACCCTGTTGATTCATGTCTCAGGTCATATTATATGATATATATGATATCATTCATCATATCATTATTCAGCCTCTTTCTGCTGGCCCCCCTAGTGACCATTCCACCAACACAGATATCTTTAACATAATCAAATAAAACATTTTCCCCGTAACTCTGTTATCTCATTTACTAGGACACTGTTGTTTCTCTGTCTGTGAAATGCTGTGAGTGTACTGAACTGCTAGCAAGCAATGAGGGGTAAAAGGGAAGCAGTGAGAATCCACCGCTGTGAAAACTATTCACACTTCTCCACAAAGACAGCCATGCCGAGATAAAATGGACAATTGCAGCTTTCTTCACATCAAACAATGGACAACGGCAACAAAAGCTAGCCTTCAAACACAATAAAAGCACTTTCATAAATGTCGACTTGCTTGCTCGCCTACCAAACTGAACATCTAGGTCACTTGCGTTGTGGTAAATCATAAATGTTTCCATCGCCATATATTATATTAATGTTTCTGAAGAAAAAAATGTACAGTGCAAAATCTTGGGGACCTCCAAAACAGGCGGAAATTACATATTATAGCTACTGTGAAAATGGTTGAGTTTTGATTACATCACTCTGCACCAGCAGGCAGGGAAAAAGATACTAGCCAATAATATTATGTTTAATATCACTCACCCAAACTTATCACTGACAGAGAATGCCCAGCTAGTTTAGAGACCTTCCCTGATAGCGTGTCCGACTCTAATGCTACGTTCACATTACAAGCCTCATTGCTGAAATCTGATATTTTGCTCAAATCCGATCTCTCTGACATGATGGTTCACACTGGTTTAGGTAAGTGATTCAAATCTGTCATTAACGTGAACGAAAAGACCCACATGCGCACATCCTACTCAGTTACGCCACATGAATGAATCACGTGCATCATCAGCAAACAAACAAACGGTCAGAACAAGACTTCGCTGCGAAGATAATTAACTCTGATCAGCTCTCAGCTGTTCATTATTATAGCGAGACGTAGGCGAAAAAGGTAAGATGTGTTTGTTTTTTCACTGTTTACGGCTTTAACTTCTGTTAAAGCTGCCACGGTAATGCTGAATGTTTCCACTGGTGCACACGCAGTGGAAAAAAAGCACATGAATTCCGATCTGAGTGTTCACATTAAGGTCACATGACCATGAATCGGATACGTTTCCAATTTAGGACCACATATGAAAGTGTCCACACAGCCCTGAAAACATCGGATTTGAGTCACTTTAACCTGGAAATGTGAACGTAGGCTAACATACAATATGGTATCGAAGCAATATGCATTAAGCTTTCCATTTCACTTTGACTTCAAACGAAGTGTGTACATATTAAAACAAAGCACAAACACAAGGCGAAAAGGCACTGCTTATGGAAAAGTTGAATACATCGAGAGTAAATAGTATTCTCCTGAAGATTTTAATATAAAATCAGGGATAACACTGCGGTTGAATGGCACAGGCTTAGTTTACTTTATGCATAACAACAAGCACAACATATTGTGGATTTTTTTACTCTATCAAGTCTAAGTAATTGTAATGAATCTCTGAAACTTTGAGAACCCATGAAATGCTAAAAATGGGGGCCAGTCCACTGTCAGAAATGCAAAACAAATATTTACCAAACACTTTACTGTACTGAGAGTACAATAAGAATTAAACTGCACAAAGTTTTTGTGAAACTTTGTGGAAAATAATGTATAATTAGTATGCTTACATCTGATAATAATCAGTGCAATGCATAAATGTGGATTCCACAATGTGAGGTTAATAGCTGGCCATTTGAACAAATATACATGCACATAACTAAATTTGTTCCATTATCAACACTGTATTAAGTATCATTATTGCCATTTCACTCTAAATACTGCTAATGACTTGACTCTCCACGTAAATAGCTTTTTTAGTCTCTAAAAATATTTCCTCTAACACTGTTTTCCACCTTCTAACACTCATATCACCAATAGGGTTTAAATGCCACAAATCCGTCATCAGGAACGGGGGTAGTTCTGTCATGCTTTGCACTAGAACAATCTTGTGGGACCACGATTACTTAGCAGTTCTCACTCCAACACCGATGAGGGGGGTGGGCGTACGCAACAGTTGGGTCGTCGGACATTTTGGAACATGGACCTGAACACGTTAGCCTGCCTCCGCTTGCTTTTCCTCCCCGATGGCGAGTCAGATGCTCCACCTGACATGGATTTCCTGAACACCGTCTGAGCGATAATCTTTTTCTCATGCTCCTTGATTTTGCACTGGAGGTGACTCTGGATAGCAAAGCCGAGTGACTCGGGGTCCAGCGATGCGCCATACACCTCCCACGTCATGCCTTGCTCGTCCCATACCACGTCATGGACACTCTTCTTGGTCTGCTTAGCTGCCTTCTCCTCCTCCTTTTTATTCCTCTCTGGCTCCAACTTGGAACCACTCTGCTTTGAAGATGCCGCTGTAGCTTTAGCTTTGTCTGTCGGCTGCTCTGTTTTCTTCTTGTCCTCTGATGTGGAGCATGGAAGCTTGGAAGATGGAGCAGGAGCTGCTTTTGCAGCCTCTGTTTTGGCCTTGTTGTCTTCTACATGAGGAATGGTTTCCTGCGGAGGGGGCTCAGGCTGTGAAAGGGGGGATTTAGCAGCAGGAGACTTGGCAGGTTGCTCTGACTGAGCACTTGTGTCAGACAGAACTCGACAGGCCTGATCAGATGCTGTGGTCGGCATCTCACAAAGGCCTTTCCCCATGGAGTCCTGATTCGACGAGTCTGAAGTAGAAAGCACAGGGGAGGCTTTGTAGCCCTGACTGTGGCAGCTAGCCTCAGCTGAAGGCTTGTTTTGGCTGACTGTCTCTATATTGATCTGATAAACTGGTTGAAGGGGCGGATATCCTTTCTGGGCACTGAGCGGAGGAGGCCCAGGCTCTTTGGGTTTGGCTCCAAGCCTAGACTCCTGTTGTAGAGCAGCATCAGTGTGTACCGAAACAGTGCCAGGTTGAGGAACCTTCTCTGATAAGGCCATTATAGACTGACCACATGAACTAACTGACGTGCCCATCAGAATCTGTGAGGGAACAAGTGAAGGAACTTCTGCATTATCCATTTTATAAACCACTGCAAGGCTCTCTGTTTCATCCGTCTGAGAAGAGATGCACGCCTGGTTGGGTTGGTGCGTAAAAAGGCTGGGACTTGTTGCCACAGCTCGACTGCAGACCGCAGCCACGGCCTGCACTTCCACGTCTTGGTGTTGTTTACAGGGTGAGGAGCCACAATCTGCTGCTGACGTCATGGTGGAAGCCTCACGGTATAGCTTACAGTGTGTCTTCTTGTTTTCCTCCGAGGCAGAGCCTTGTGTTTGAACTGCTTCGTCAGTCAGTTGAGTATAAGAGGAGGTGTCAGGGGAGAGCGGGATACTGTTTACTGGGATTGTGTTGTGGACAGCAGAAATTTGTGATGTCACAAGGGGTTCTGCTCTGTTTTCTGGGCATTCTGATTTGTAGATGTGACCTGTCTCTTTAACAGATGTGGGCTGTGTCTTGTCTGATTGTTGAGTAACACCTGTCTCAGGTTTCTCATTGATATATGTTGGCTGAGAGGTCTCTGCTGATTTTGAAACTTCTGTTGTAAACACCTTGGAGGAAACTGCTCCTTGGGCTTTCACGGTTGAATCTGGTGGTGGTTGCTTCAGCAGATCCAAGCTGGTTGTCAGAGCTTGGTCTGATTTCATAGCGCAACTTGAATCTTTCAATTCAGGTAAGTGGGAAGTGTCCTCGTTTAAGTTTCTAGAGCTGGTAAGTGCATTCTGTTGGGGTGACACCGCAGCACAGCCCGTCAGCTTTGGGTCACTAGTGTGGCTTAGCTTTTGATTGTGCATTGTACCCGTACAAGAAATGGTTTCCTCAGTCACTGATGCTCTACTCTGTACTTTGTCCTCACACCCCTCCCTTTTGGTTGCCATTTTTGCACCATTGCCATTCGTCTCCTTGTCAACTTTAGGCGACGTAACTACAGATGACGGGCTAGTCACACACACATCCTCCCTTTTGGCAGAAAGGGCTGATAACGGTCTTGAATTAGCATTGCCATCCTTGTGACTTTCCTCAGCATTGTTCTCACATTGACCCGTCTTGATGTTTGCACGATCCTGGGCCCCAGGGTTCTTATGACCTCCACTGTCAGATGAAGGAGAGTTGGATGTCCCTTCCAAGAGCTTTTCTCCAAGATTTGTGGGACCTTTACTGGGGGACTTTAAATGCATATTATCCTGATCAGGTTTTGTTTTTTGAGCAGAGGAGTGACTGCGCTTCACATTTAAGTTTGATTCCTGGTCCCAGTTGGCATTTGTCTCTTTGTTACCCAAAGTATCTATACCAGACAGTTGTGGGACCATTTGAACAGTAACAGTCCGTTTGGGGTTAGGGACAGTTCCCATTCTGAGTCCAGCTGTATCACTTAAGTTGTTGGTATTCCAAAATCAGTGTGGATATCCTGGAAGCCTAACTGTCCCTCCAAAGCTTCCCTAAGGCATAGAGATAGAAATTAGTTCAGATACAAAAGTAAAAATGGATGTTACAAGATTAAGAGAAAACTTTGAGCTACACAAAGATTTTCTGACCATATTAAAAGGTTAAAAGCTAAATCATTTACAAATGTACTGTTGGACTTATAAATGGCCAAGAGCGTCGCAATCTCAAGAATACATTTTCATGACATAAATGGAAAAAACAAAGAGTAAGAGAAAAGCAGGTCTCAGGTTTGTGCTGCAGTGAGCTACTTTCACTGAATGTTTGAGATCATTTTTCAAAATCTGTGTACGATTATGTACAAGAATGATAAATGAGAAGAATTCACTTAAAACATTAGAGTGTATATACATATATATATATGTATATATACACATAAAATGAATCCATAAAGCAAGAACCACTTCTAACAGTCTAATTCTTTATTCTAACTGATGTAGACATTAAACGATCTCAACTTAAACACATACTTTATGAAAATTTCTCAGGTCAACTGTAATAATTTTAGACAGCACTGAAAAATATGATACACACAGACACATACAAACACATGCAGGCCACTTAGTAACACACAGACATACCAGTTACTGATCAAAGCATAGTATAGACTGTGGTACGTCAAGATAGAAGAGTGAAAGCAAAGAAACAGGTCAAGTAAAGCAACCATGCTGAACAACACAGGAACTAAAGAGGATGCAGACATTTGAGAAGGCTCTCCTCAAACAAGAATAGAAAAGACAGCTTGTAACTTCAACCTTTTTGCAAGTCCTGGGTATAAGTTATACAGTCCTGATCTCCTTAAACCTTCATATAAACTGATCCATAACCTGGATTTGGGCATGGCATAAGCCAAACACACGCTGTAACGTCAGCATCTGTAACCAGCCTTTTTATGCCTCTCCGAGAGTAATTAGTAAGGCATAACAAGCTATGTCCTTTAATCTGGGTATTTTTTCTTTGCTTTATTTTTTTGTCTGGTCATTTTGCAATGGACACTGGAGCACAGGAGAGAACAAGCACAGTGATAATGTGTGAGTTGAGCCTTAAACTCAAATAAAAGAATACAATAACAGCTCAGTAAAAGTTGTCACTAGTTTTATGCAGTATCTTTATTATGTAGTATCTTTGAAATTTGGCTATGAAACTGGCCATGGAACTTTTCGGGTGTGAGCGTTTGTAGCCTGTTTGAAACAGGAGCTGAGACATGTTTTTACTTGTGCTTTTCCCAAGACCCGAAGTCACATTTTCTGATGTTTACAAATTGACCCTGTGGTCTGAAGAGGTCCTATGTACTATAGCTTGCTTTCTGTAGAGGCATTAAATCTGCCTGTGGCACCCAGCATGTTTAACCAACACAGCCATGTTTTTAGAACACTTTCATCTATGTTAGGTACAATAAAAGTGGTCTTAAAGTAGAACATCACATCACCCAACATGTTTGGTCAGGTTAGTTAAAGGTCAGTTATGTTCATGTTTGCGAATACAAGTTTTGCCATTGTTTATATGAAAAAATGAATGAATGACATTTTTGCAACAAGCAAAAAATATAAAATTTAAATAGCCACTAAATGTGTTTTTAGCATCACTGTGGACTGTAGCCACGGTAACACAGTTAACCTTCACTGGGCACAGGCTTAATCACAGGTGACTTCAGGTAATATGTCCAAAGCTCAATTCTGAATTTTGTGGTTTCAGTTAGAGTGAAATAACCTGGTAAAACACTGACACGGTTCAGGTAACATTGGGAATAACCCACAATGAATGGTTACACTGTTAGTTACAGAGAAATCAAAATGCATTTTTAATAGTTTATGCAAAATGCAGAATCCTTTGTGTCACAAAGCAAACTCATCCTGACATACATTTTGTCACACATACAGGCTTTTATATGTACAGAATATTGTGGTTGGCTTAATACTTACATATGGATCATTCTATTGAATTGGTACAAAGTCAGAGTGTGGTCTTTCGGTCTTTCAATAGACTTTAGACTAAAATTAATTTGCTTTGAATGACCATATGCCGTAATTATGCTTATTTCATTAAAACAAATGATTGAACATTTCATTTTGTCCCTACCAAAACAATCATAACGCTACCAAAACTGTTTCGGTGGTGACAATTTGAGCTAATTTGAGCATAACTCAAAAACGCTACATGACTAGCAAACACAGCTTTGAACAGTTTTGCACACGTAAAATCATAATATTGTTCATCAAAACAAAAAAATTGACTTAATTGCAACAAAATGTGTTCATATTTGGATCCCATCAATGGGATCTAACTGATGTTGGGTTTTACTGTATTTATGTTTATTTGTCTTATTTTAATGCTATATAATGACAAAAACACACTTAACCCCACAACTTACTCCCAAGATAAATTTTTTCAAACCATTTTCTTGGCTGCCTTAGGCCTTTGCACATTACTATACACATGATAATATGAATCATCTTTTGCTCTCCATGCTAGACATCAAATCTGCTTTTTTCTTTGTTGCTTAGTGTCACACAATTCATCTTTGACTTTTGCAATCAACCCCTAGCAAAACAAATCCCTGGAGAGCTGACAGACTGAAAAATCCCCTTCTAGCAGGCAGTTACACTCACTTCTGCTAAGGACGGACTACTGCTGAGAGGGAACCTTGCTGGTTTTCTCATCTAGGTAAGAATAATGGATTATTATACCAGCTTTACTTTAATGAAGCTCTTTTCTATCACACTTCACAGAAACAGTAAATCACACCATAGCATTTTGCTTATCTATTTATTGATTCTTTCTATTTCAAGAGCTTCCTGTCAAACCTTTGGCTGACTGCCCAATGCCTTGGCCAGAAAAAGACCTGCTCAGATGGTCGCACAAAGCCTCTAAATAACAAACATTATTACACCACGTTTATCATGAATAATGTATTTTCCTTTGGTGGAAATAAATTGCATGCTTGGTAATAGCTGTTATGTCTCCTAGCACAAATAATGACCACACGTGCATATAGGGCATAAAAACGCATACCTCATCTATAAAATTGGACAACACTCAATTTTTCCATGATAATAAACACTGAATCAAAAATGGAACACACCAGTGGACAGACAGAACAAGATTTAGTGCTCACAGTACTGAGCAATGCATTTCATCTCTGATTTCTAAAAGCTGCAGCCAGAACTATTTGTCTTTATTACTCTTGAAGGGACTCTGATGGCATAAGCTGGGCTCTCGGAGGTCCCTGCCTAAAATGTATGGGAAAATACTGTGTGAAATACTGTTCAATCTGGGCAGTATTTCATAATAATACTGCACATCACATCTTTATTTTAAGGGAAGCAGGCAGAATACAGAAACCTTAGCCACTGTAATTACTCTAAATATAATTCTGGTACATCACACAGTTCAAAAGTTTGGAAGCACTTAATAATCATCATAATGTAGATGGAATTGTTATAAACTAGACACCAAAACTTAAGTGGTATATTAAACAATAACCTGTCATTGTCTATTATAGTCATTTCTTGATATGAAATGACTATGAATAGCTGGTTGATCCATAAGATTTGGTCACTGCTTTTTTAATATGAGGCATTCTGGATATTCATTTTATTTGGGTTCAGCTCGATGCTATACAGCTTTAATGGAATAATACAGCTCCCATGCAAAAAATATGGGCCAAGCCCAAAAATGGCAACACATTAAGCTTTAATTGTCTTTACAACAAATCACTAAACATACAGATGAAGTAACGTAGTATGAGATAGCTTTTCCCTTGGCTTCTTTAAATGTTTAAGTTTTGTGGTTAAACTTGCTGACAGTCTTTTACAGAAAGAAGAGTCAATACTGTTCCACTCAGCACTGATGGCTTCAAACAGTTAAAAAACACAGGCAAGCTAGTTTGTGTTTAATGTGAGACCAAATATTCAATTAGGGACTCACAGCAGGCTAAAACCATCAGTGAAAACTACTATATTTTGGGTTTGGCCCATTTGTTTTACATGGGAATGTATTTATACAGAGTTGGGCAGAATACTTTATAAAAGTAGTGCTGGCTAAATACTGAATACGCTGTCTGAAATGTATTCAGTAATGTATTCGAAAACAATACACAAAAAAGTAAATTATTTAGAATACATCCCGAATACATACTGATAAACGATAAAATACATGAAAAAAACTCTGCTGTAATTTTGATGTATTTCACGCTGTTCCTCACTGTTGCTGGTTGGCAGTTTTGTTCATGTAATTCTCCTGATAATATGTTTCAGGAAAAATGTAATTACTCAAATTTATAGAAAAATTAATACAAAATTCTCAACGTTATTTCAGCTCTCATCGCTTGCTTCAAGCTACTGCTGCTCCCACAATCCCACTGCCATCTCAGACCCAATTCGCCATATCCCCATAACAAAGTATGCAAATGTGTCTATAAAGTGAGCAGCTGTGTGATTTTCAGTGGATGATATGTATGTAACTTGTCACTGAACGCATACACAAGTCCAGTATAATGCCAAAGCTAAGCTTATCACTCGAGAATATGTCCACTGCTCAGTTCAGTTCTCCCTCAAAAGAGTTTACTAACACTCAGATTTATAACTGGCTCATCACAGTGATTTATCAGTCTACTCAGGCTTGAGGACGTGCTAATTTTGAGCTCTTCTTTAGAGAAAGCCTTTATATTCTGTGTGCTGATTTGAAAAAAAGGACTTAACAAGCAGTGATGATGTTTCTTTGAAAGATGGTATTTATTCAAAAATTAGTGGGTAAATATTCTAGAGGTATTCTTCCTAAAATGTAAAGGATAACTTTATTCTGAAGACTTCATTTACAATGTGACTTGGACTGAATACAGATACTTAATTTCCATATTCAGAATATGTTTGCCCGACAATACTCGCATGCCATTACATCCCAACCATGAATATGTGTATATATACACCCACAAAATATCCAGATACCCCTTTTAATTACTGAATTCAGCTATTTAGAGGTTCACCCATTACAGATGATCAACTGTGCAAACAGCTTGTATAATTAGTTCAAAATCCATGTAAAGGCATTGCCAAGAAAATGTGATGCTCTGGATCAGCCGCACATGAGCCTCAGGTCGCCAATGCCAAGCGCTGGCTAGAGGGACATAAAGCCTCCCAGCACTGGGCTGTAGAGCAGTGCACCTGTGTTCTCTGGAGTGATGCTGCTCCATTCAGTACCTCTGTGATGATCTGGAGTGGAGAACTGATCATCCAACATCTGTACCTGACCTCACAAATGCTCCTTTGCCTGAATGCGGTCAAATCCTCACAGCAACGTTCCATCATCTAGTGTAAAGCCTTCCCAGAAGAGTAGAGGCTGTTACTGCAGCAAAGGAGGACAAACTCTCTATTAAGACCGCTGATATCAGAAGAAAGGCTGGATGAGCTGGTATCTACAAAGGGCTGGATATACATGTCACAGCTATAGATACAGACAGTCTTCATGGCTATATGTCACAAAGAAAAGAAAACTTGGTTTGTTCTTTGAAAAGACAGGTAGCAAATTAGGGGCTACACAGACTGACTGGACAGAGCCAGGCGGAATAACGGATAATTAGACTGGATCAGTTTAGGTCACTTAAAACGTGCATGAGCTGCATTATGAGGTGGAAAGATGAACTGGGAAAGACTAACCTGAAGGTTTACTGTTAAAAAACAACGCCAACATTCAGCTCGACCATCTTTTACAGTGAATTCCTCTACCAGCCCACAGCCTATCGATGACCTTGCGAGAAAACGAAGCGTTTGGTGGCCTCTCAGTTCCCAACGTGCGAGAAACACAAGGAAAAAAGCAGAAACACACATCAATAAAAACCTTACCTGCTTCGTCTTTGTCTTACATCCTTCACGGTCTCGGGTTACAACAGCGCAGCTCGTCCTCTCCACACACATCCACACGCGCTCTCTCTCTCTCTCTCTCTCTCTCTCTCGTTCTCTCACCACTGAATTTTCATCCGACCGTTAGTGACGTGCAAGCCACGCCCTCTAGAGCGCGCCAAAAATCCAAGGGACAGTGGCGGGAAACAAAAAAATCCTAATTATTTTATTAAAATAATTACGGCTTGACCACCGCAGTCCACAGGAAATAAAGCTAATAAAAGGAACATGAATTTTAAAAAAGCATCTCTGCAGCGCTCAAATAACAGGGCTCAGTGCAGGAGATGAGCGGTAGCATGTTTAAGCAGCCGGCCTTCATTGCAGTGCTGCACATGCACAAGTCACTGCAGCACACAGAGCCAAAACAATTCACCTGCATTTACACAGACTGTCCACTTCATTAAGTACACCGCCCTGTATCTACACTTACTGTCCATTTTATCAGTTCCAGTTACCATACAGGTGCACTTTGTAGCTCTACAATTACAGACTGTAGTCCATCTGTTTCTCTGCGTACTTTGTTTCACCCTGTACTTCAGTGGTCAGGACCCCAGGACCACCACAGAGCAGATATTATTTGGGCGGTGGGTCATTCTCAGGACTGCAATGACCCTGACGTGGCGATGTGTTAGTGTGTGTTGTGCTGGTATGAGTGGATCAGACACAGCAGTGGTGCTGCAGTTGTCAAACACTGTGTCCACTCACTGTCCACTCTATTAGACACTCCTACCTTGTTGGTCCACCTTGTAGATGTAAAGTCATGGATAATAGGTCATCTGTTGCTGCGCAGTTTGTGTTGGTCATCCTCTAGTCCTTCATCAGTGGTCACTGGACGCTGTTGGCTGGGTATTTTTGGTCGGTGGAATATTCTCAGTCCAGCAGTGACACTGAGGAGTTTCAAACTTCAGCAATATTGCTCTGTCTGATACACTTGTACCAGCGCAACACTGAGAATGAACCACCACCCAAAAAATATTTGCTCTGTGGTGGTCCTGTCAGGGTTCTGACCATTGAAGAACAGGGTGAGCACAGTCTGTAACTGCAGAACTACCAAGTGTGCCTATATAGTGAGTAAAGTGGTAAATGATAAAATGGACAATGAGTGTAGAAACAAGGAGGTGTAAATGAAGTGAAGCGTAACGCCCAGGTTAACATAACTGCTTGAGACATTTCGCTGACATACACCTTACAGTCTTAGTGTCACCAAACTCATCACCATTATGTGTTCTTCTTTGAGAAGATAAGGTAAAAAGGTATGTTTTAATTTTTTCAGTTCACTGATACCAGCTTCTGCCATGTTTCGTAGCTACGGAAGGACATAAAAACAGAAACACTTGGTCACTCTCAATCATAATTTAGCGCACTTTTTCTTTTGTATATCATCATATAAACCATTATATAAACCAGAGGTGTCAAACTCAGGTCCTGCTGGGCCACAGCTCTGCAGAGATTAGTGATTTCCGTCTTCTAACACTCTAACTAATGAAGATCTTGCTAATTAACTGACCATTTGTATCTGGTGTTTCACTGAGTCAAGACTGATACATGTGGTATAAACCTTTCTGCAAAGTTTGATGATTCTATTCAATATCTGGCCTGTCCTTGAAACTTGGCTAGTGTCAGGAAAAAAGTCTCTAACAGAGTGAAGAAGAAACACTGAGAGGAGCAGCTTTACACCTACTTTTACTTGTGGAAGGTATATTTTCGGCAGCCTGCCTTCATCACACTGCTGCAGGTGTCCAGGCTGATGCAGGTCTACAGCTCCTACTGAACAAAATCAATGCACAGTCTTTTTCCAATATTTTGTTCTGTATTAATTATAATACACACAAATTCAAATTGATCTTCAGTCTTCAGTTGATTTTCTCTTGATGTTCTTTTGCCTTTATTACAGTTTCCATTCTTTCCAGAGACTCGCTTTCAGTTTTTCAAAGAAATCTGCAGACACACCTCCAAAGTTCAGTACTAGAAGTTGGTTGCATATTCTGCTTCTGACAATACCAAACACATTCATTGATGTTGAGGTCTGGACTCTGGGGTAGTCAGTCTATTTTTCTGAGAACACCAGTAGCTTCTATGTCCTTTCTTTTTCTCTATTTCCGTTTCTCAGTAAGGGCTACTTAACAGCTACACATCCTTTCAGAGCCGTAGTGTTGAGTTGTCTTCTTACAGTAGAAGGATGGACAGACACACCTGTGGATTGTTCTTTTTTTATATCTGAAGCAAAAGTGGAGCTTGATTTTCTCCTCTCTCTCAAAGATGAAAGCTTTAAGCAGTGTTTATCTGATGGAGACAGTTTCGGTGTCCCATTTTCTCTGTATCTTTTAATCATCATTATTTTGAACAGTTTTAGAAACTCATGTTTCTCTTTCCTTTTTTCCCTTCATTGTGCAAGTGGATTATCTTACACCTAATCTCCTCAGTAAATCGCTCCTGAAACATGAATAACGTACAATTAATGTTTGTTTTAGCTTGAAATTAAATAAATGAAGGGGTTTCTGCACAGCACTGTGCTTCTGTATTTATGGGGTATTTCCATTGCCTTCTTTATGACCATTGTTAAAAGTTTTAGCCTTGTTTTAAAGCCTTGTTTTGTGTGTGTGTGTGTGTGTGTGTGTGTGTGTGTGTGTGTGTGTGTGTGTGCGTGTGTGTGTTTGTGTGTGTATGTAGGAAACAGGAAGGCATTACATAGGCCTGAGACAATAAAAGACAGAGAAAGAGCATTCTGAGCTCTTGATTTCTGTCTTGAAGGAATCCCCAGTGAGATGATGAAGGAGAGATTTTGCTGGAGTTGCTCTTCTCTTGATGTGTTGCAGTCTGTAGTCTCCTCATGGGCAGTCAGCACGGAGCTGTACTGTACAAAGCGCTGCAGGCTTCTCTGAATTTTGATTGTTTGCGTAACTAATCTGACCTCAATTCCCAACTTCAGAACTATGTGCATCAGTGCCAGGAAAGTGTTAGATATATCAGTTAACATTCATGAACAGTCTCATAATAATAATAATAATAATAATAATGATAATAATGAGTGTTCTTCAAGTGTTTTTAGTGAAGGCAATGGTTCTATTTAGAACCATGAGTTCTATGAAGAACCATTTCTTGCTTAAATGCTTTTTTGTATGGTGCAATGACTTTTAAGATTGATGGAGAATCTGTTTTATATGGTTCCATACAGAACCTTTTTGAAAAGGATGGAGTACCAAAATAGGTTCTTCTATTGTTACAAGCTTGACATCGTAACAATAGAAGAACCCTAAGATCTAGTAGTACTGTAAGATGTTAAATATTTCTACAGTGGTGTATAATAAAGATTCTATAATAAACTGTAGTATTTGCCTTAGATAATATAACTGTTGCACTCTGTAATAATAAAGTACAGTACCTGTGTATACTATTTTATCTTACATTCACTGTAGGATTGTCCTAGCAGTTCTGTAGAAATTCCTGTATCTAATATCACTGGAGATCTTTTTTATGCAGGGTTAATATTGTGAGACTGTATTTATATCCAGACATCTTAGCACTCATTAAAATGTTTTTAATGTGAGAAACTCCAAATATTATGCCATGTTTCCCTTCCCACCTTATCTTCGAGCGTGTAGACTGTTTTTAAGGCACAGTAAAGAGAGCTTGTTATTAATGGTCAGTTTCTGCCCTCTGGTGGTGCTAGAAAAAAGAAGGTATCTGCAAAAGTTGGCTACAAGCCGCTCTGCGCATGCGCAGCTGGTTTCCGGGAGACAAGCTGCGACCCAGACGACAGTTGGTGCTACACGGTTAGCTGTTTAGCCGTTTATCCGTTTTTCTTAAACTATAAACCGGCGGAAACTTTTCCGAAGTTCACCAGTGAATGTTATTCGTCTGCCGTTAGAGGAACCGTGGCGTGGGGAACATAAAGGCATAAAACCACTCTGCCTGGGGTAATAGTGATATTAGCAAACTATGCTAACAAAGCTAGCTAACTGTCCTAACTAACAACCTGTTTGAGTTGGTCAGTGCCTGAGCGGGTAACGGAGTTGAGACCGGCCAGACTTTATTTAAGATACCCAGTTTAAACACTGGAGAGTAAGAGATACAGGCACCCGTTCAGCTAAATGTGAGGTTTGTGTTGATACTGCTGCTACTACTGAATAACAGACTTGAAGGGGAACTCCACCAATTTGGCAAAATGTCTAGTTACTTAGTTAAATGGTTACGATGTAAACAAAGAAAGTGAAAGTGGTTTGGTGTGAAATGCTCGATTCTAAAACTTAGTGAGCTAGAATTGTTCACAGTGGTGGTGATAGGAACCAGACGTCTGAAGGGTTTAAAGCTTCTTAGAAAAAGTTGGCCTAAACCTTCTTATTAATAAGTGTATTTGAATCTATTCATGGTGGAGGGATACATGGAGGGCGTTGTTAGACAAAATAGTCCCCAAAGAAAATGTTTTTTTTTCTTATTTACCACTATTTTACCATCATCAACATTACAAGTAAAAACTCAGAAAACATGTAGGTTGACTGGTAATTTTCAGTTTTAAAAAGGTAGGTAGATTTCTAGAGTATTTAAAAATATATTTTATATTTTATGTAACAAGTTAATTTTGTTAATAGAATATTTCAAAATTACATTTTAAAATGAAAAGGGGAATTTATTTGTATATAAAATGTTGGTCTGTCACTGAGTGAGGGTACCTTTCTGTCAGTCCAAATCAGATATCCTCACAGGCCAGCTTTGACCTGTGGGCCTCACTTTGGGCAGCCCTGCTATAAATTGTTTAATTTTCTTTCTTTGTTTTCTAAGAACTTTTTTTTCTAAGCCACAATTGAAGGATGCTGCTGTGTAATAAACCCATTTAAGGCATTTCCAGGAGTATTCCATTGATTCAGTAATGTTAAAATATCAATTTTTTTGTGTTTTTAGAAAAAAAATAAGTGTTTTTAGGATATTGTTATTGATGTGGGACATTTAGTGTGGGGAATGAAATGATACATAACTAGCATCATGCAAGCCTTAACTGCTGTGTCCCACTTCTCTCTTACTGGATGAACTATGAACCAAACCCTCCAGTCAAAGACACTCAAGCAGCTCTCTCTGATTGGACCATGTTTAAGGGGACAGGAACCCAATTTTAAAGAAAATGTTGTTACATAAAACAATGAAGACTTCAGAAACCTAAGTTGTCAAGTCTGTCCAGTAGTGTCTTATATTTTGCTTCATGGATGCTTAAATGTCTTAGGTTATAAGCTGCCCTGCACAGCTTTTAGCAACTCTAGATAAACATCCCAGACTTCTTTCATTGATTTAAATGGCCTTATCCAGCCAGCTTGTACTAATCATCAACTTACTGAAGTTGACAGTGAAGCTTGTTTTAAAGCTAATCTTTTTTGCCTTGATAGCATCACAGTTGAAAATGTTAATAACTTGCTAAATGAACTGTTTGCCAGTAAATCCTATTGGATGGAGATTGACCCTTGCTAGACAGACAGCAAATAAATAAGGATTATACAAGCATTATCTGGCCTTATCTGTCCAGTTAAAAATACGTCGAGAAAGAGATTCAACTCAAAGCCTCACGTGAGCTGCTTAAAGACATTTTGTCTAGTTTGAAGTGGCTCATACATGTGCTGCTCAGAGTCACTAGTAATGGCGAGGAGGGCGCAATGTCAAAAATGTGTATGTTGATGTGTCTTGAGTAGAGCAGTTCTGTGGAATGTATTACAAACAGCTGTTCATGACTACATTTATTGCTGTTTTCTATTACAGATGATGTTGGCGTATATCTGGCAGTACGTCTATTCATCCTTCCTTCGCTTCTGGCTGAAATGGTTTCTCAGACACGTCACAGGCAAATGTGAACTGCAGCGGATATGTGCTGGGTACAAGCAAGGAGCACTGAGGACGACACAGATAGGTGAGGGTTGTAATCTTTATACAAAATAATAAGTACTTTACTCAGGAAGATAAATAAAACACTGGAAAGATAATACAGTTACCAACAGTTGGAGGAAAGAGACCCAACACATTAGGCTCTGGAAAAGCTATAGTGATTCAGCAAGATATGGTGGCATCAAGCCTTCAAGGGCTTTAAATGTCACAAGCAAGACCTTGTAGTCAATGTGGAACTTAACAGGAATGCAGTGTAAACTGAATAGTAAGCTACCAGAGTAATATGCTCAGATTTCCTTTTTCCTGGTAAGTACACAGGCTCATTCTGCTGGGTTACTCGGGGTAACCAAACATCTATATGTTGTTATTCTGAGGAGCTTATAGTTTCAGCTTTGGTTTCACCCTCATAGAATGAGAATCTCTTTTATTTTTCATCCTGTGCTACCTACATTTCACTTGCTTACAAAAAGAGATGATCATTTTCTTGCTATATTTGTATCAGAGAGAATCCGTATTGTTTCTGTTTTCAGAGTACTCCCTGAAATCCTCAAAAAACAAGGTAAGGGACGAAGTGTACATCAAAGCTTTACGATTTACTGTGTAAACTTTACACTGATCTTCACTCAGTTTATTCTGATCATCAACACTGTTCTCAGTAGACAGACCATGATAGCATTATCACTCCTTCAAGTATTGATTAGAGAGTTAGGTTTGCATAGTAAGAACACTGATCTAGGGCCCGAGACTCCTATATTTCTGGTGTTCTGAGTCACGTAAATCTTAAATCAGATTTTGCTTTCTACTAGGGCAGATTTACCACCTCGTTATGATAACCTTTGTTTTGTTCCTGTTTGTACACATTTGAAAATTGTGTGTTTTCTCCATTAGATTGGTCTTGGTTCCTTTTATATTGCCTAGGTGTTGCAAGATGCTGTGAGTGTGAAGGAGGATGCTGTGGTGGGCTGTGTGGCACAAATCATGAAAGAAAAGAATGTCAACGCCCAAAAAGACCCAACGTAAGTTTGAATTAACGGTATCTCATGTCACACATTTAGAGATATGCCGGGTGTCATGAACTTCATGGTGAAACTGTCAAATTCTTGTTCAAATAACATGGAATTGTATCAGGTGTCTGTTTCAGTATATTTTTAACCAAAACGATTCCTTTAAACTGTATGTTGCAATGCATTAAACATACAGTTTAATCCATGGACTGATTTAGCAGTTCATTGACTTGGAAATAAGTGCTGTGTGCATTTAATTTGGACGGTGAGTAAACTCGATTCTATTGAAATAGAAAAAAGAACGATTAAATTAAATTTGAATACAAGTTTTTCAGAATATAATTAATACAAAACCTACAGTAAAGCCCTACAACATATAAGAACAGCCTTGAATTTACTTGTGTTTTCTCTCTATTGATGGCTCTTTTCTTTCCTTGAACATTTCAAGCTTTACTCTATTAGTGAGTAGGTGATCATCAGACTAATTACCTGTATTGAAAGTCATTACATATGGAGGGAATAAGAATAAAGTTGACTAATCATTGTGAACATCATAGTATGTCCACTCATTGAAGTTGACTTCAAGGACTGGCTGAAGGATTCTAATAACATAATATTTTTGCAACATAAAATATCCCTTTGTAACACATTAAGAGCAAATTTTTTGACTCAGTTGAATCAGACATTTGATTAACTAAAACAGATGGTTCTAAGGAATCGGTTCAGTCAGCTGAATCAGACTTTCCATCCCCACTATTAAAGCTTTTCACTCTTTATAGAATTGGCTGACCAAACTGACTGAACATGTAATCTTGTAGGTTTAAGGGGAATCTTCAACAGTGCCTGTTGCAAATAAGTGGCTATAGCACACTGTTCACGACAGTCGAAGAGCTAAGAAAAGAGGTGTTCGACTCAGAAAATGAAGACCATGAGAAAATGCTTCTTAAGGTGAGTTTCATTTGAGATGCTCTTTGGCCTACATTCAGTTGTTCCATCACAATGCAGGGCGATAAGAGGCTTTGGCAAACACAGCTAGTTTGATGATGACTGGGCTCTTGGAGGCACTGTAGACCTAGACCTGATCACTGTGAATGCCTGCTGTACCCTGCATGATTATTTTTGAAAGGATTGTTTGCACAGACATCACGCATTGCTTTGGTGATTAGGCTGGTGATCAGGTTGCGCAATCAGAGTTTTTTTGGAAGATGAGGGGCTATGATGACATGCCAAAAGAGTAAAAATAGCTCTGATAAGCAAATATAGATCATTAAAACAAAACATTTGTTGTTTTTTTGGTTAGTTGTGGGACTTACTGATGCCATCAGTTAAGTTGGACTCTCGATTCACAAAGCAGTGGGGCGATATTGGGTTTCAAGGTGACGACCCAAAGACTGACTTCAGGGGAATGGGCATGCTTGGCCTGGTGAACCTTGTGTAAGTCTCATAATGTTAAATAAACTATGTATAAATATTTTTCACATTAAAGTACATCTAAAAGTCTTTCTATAGGCTGAATGTCCTGTGTGGTTGATTTGCACTTGGAAGAATTATAACTGTATCCTGCTTAAGAAATGTAGAAATATCAGTGTAAAAAAATCAAACTGTTTTTCTGTAGTTTGTAATTTGGTGGATTTTTTTTGTGTTTTGTTTTGCTGGAGAAGTTTTTTCAGTGAGAACTACACCAACGCAGCGCGACAGGTCCTGTCACATGCAAACCATCCCAAGCTGGGGTAAGCAGTTTGTGGCTACACCATTCATTCTACACATTCTGTTGCACTAAAACCTTTATCTGAGCATCACTTTACCTCAGACATCATTGAATTACATTGTAATGTTAGTGTGCTTTTTTAATGCAGGTACTCTTATGCCATAGTGGGCATTAACCTGACAGAGATGGCCTATAGTTTACTGAGGAGTGGCGCTTTGAAGATGCATTTCTACAACACTGTGGCAGGAAAACCTGAAATGCGTGACTTTCACCAGCTTTACTGTGAGTAAAGTGTTTTAAGCTTTAATCCCCACCCCTAACACTGGTTAGTGGCAAACTATCCTACTGCAACTGTACAGCCCAACTGCTGGCACAGTCACTCAGGGTGCAAGAAGTGATACAGGGTGTCTGTGGGTCCTTAAAAAGTCTTGATTTGTCTAAAATTACATTTTATAAATTAAGGGCCTTATTAAGTTGTACATGTTTAAAATTAGAATTTGGTCTTGTTTAGTTTTTCACTTGACACATCACTAACATATTAAATTCAGTTTGTTTGATTTAATTAACGTTACTGATATTATTCCCAGCGATATGAGCGTAAAAAAGAGCTTTTTATATTTGGTATATATTTGGTAAATTGTCTCTTTGAAATGGCTTTTCTCAGCAGCAGTAATAGCGATGCCATGCATGGACGTTCTCTGAAATGATTGCCAGAGCTAAAAAAAAAAAAAAGATAGATTAATTTATATTATTATTCTGAGCGTAATTATTATCTTGAACTGTTCCAATGAAATCCAAATCGCTATGGGCCTCTTTCAGGCTACCTGGCATACGAGTTCGATAAATTCTGGGTGGAAGAGGAGCCTGAGAGCATCATGCAGTTCAACCACTACAGAGAGAAGTTCCACGACAAGGTCAAAGGGTACCTTCAGGAGCCAGATGTCACCCTCATCTTGAAGGTGGACACTAAAAACTGATCCACACTCCAAAGGACCCGAAATGACTGAACAAACAGATGACTGAATAATAGCGTTTTTATGGACGTCTCTCTCCCATGCTTCCTGTTTTTAAACATAGTAGCGGCAGTTTTATGGTACTTTAAACCACAGAGCCTCAGTCAGTGATCATTCCTGAACACTATACTGTAGAATTACTGGTTTATGTGGTCAGGGACTTGCCCACGCTTAATACTACAAGAAATTTTAGGTCATGACAGTAATGTTTAGAACTAGTTGGTCCTGTAGCTAGATTGGATCTCTCTCCTCACTTGATATTTTGGTTGCATATATTTATGATTCCTGTGAGTTTGCTCTTGTGGTCGTCTGTCATCTCAGGAATTTGATATGTGTCCACAGAGGAAGATCGTATATGATCAACATGAAAAGTGTGTTTTTTCTTGAGCAAAATTGTCTTGCACATAGACAGTTCAACCCTTTTGCATGTTTTAATGCTTTTTTTGATGGCTAATAAATTTACCCCATGATATATTTCTTTAAGTGGCCTGTTGCCATGTAACAGAAATGAATGGTTAATGTATTTAACGTGTAACTCTGTAGTCAGTGACATAAGCAGTGAAAGTACTGCGTTGGGGTTTGTGTATCAATATTCACCGTCTTATTTATACAATTTTGCTGGACATTTTGTAGTTCCAGTCGCACTATGAATTGCTTTGGACAGTTGCAGACATTAATAAACTAAATCAGTGGTTAAGAAATGTTTGTGTTCCCTTCATTTCATTTAAAGGACCAATATCATGTAAAAGTGCATTGTCCTCATTTTTTTACTTTTTTAATAAAAGAAAGTTTGCAGTGGTATGTAAACATCCTATTTTAAAACATCCTATTCATTTCCTGGTCTATATGGTCCATATATGGAGACTAACCTGCAAAAATATCCTGTTTTGAATGTAATATTTCTGTGATGTCACATTAACACATTTATACTTAAGTTTGGGCACTCCAGTCAAATTACATGTTCATTTTCTAGAGAAAATAAGTAAACAAGCAAAATTTCCGCACATTTGAATGCGCAATTACTGTTTATGTACTGAACGTAACAAATGGGGGGAAAAATAAAGCATAAAATGTGGTCTGTGCAAAAGTTATGGCCCATTCATATCTTTCATTTTTCCCTGATACACCAACAGAAATTGTGCTCTAAAAGTTGCAGAAATATGTCATAGTTAAGTGCGTTAAGTGTGTTCATTTTTCGTTCATCAAGGTACAAACAATGTAAATATACCCTCAAAGGTACAACAGTGGTTTTAAGGTCCAATTGTGCACCTTAAATACGTTTTTCCCAGGTGAAAAGTACATATTGTACCTTTTCATAACCTGATGTTTTAAAACAGAACAATAAAATAAAAAGCCTGGAGACGAGACGGGGTGTGTGGAGTCAATACAACTTAGAAAATATAATTTTAATGGATTATGGTACAATTATGTTCCCTGACTAAAGGTACTGAGATGTACCACCCTAGTGCCAGTTCCATACCTTTTTTTCTGAGAGTGTAGAAAACCAACACTGTAAATTGACCAGGGAGTGTAACTATAGATTCACCTATTCAGAGGCAGCAGGTTAGGCTCCAGCCATTCTCATTGAAGTTATAGGAGGTGTTTCAGTCCAGAATGCTTTTTCGAATGAGGCTCAAAGCAGGGATGCCAATCAGAACAGGGCTCATTTACATATACCAGTCTTAAAGGCATGACATAAACAGCCTGTGTAATTGTAAGGCATAAAGATAGGTTGGACAATAGTCCTGTAACAATGAATTATAATTGTTTTTGGTGCACCCCACGACCTAGAAGGATAAGCGGCTTAGAAGATGTGTGTGTTTTTGATGCATAAACCCATGGAAATGTTGTAAGTGGACCTCAGGGGAAAATAAAATACCATAAAGGATAAGATATGCGCCCTGGGCAGACACAGATGAGCTGAGTAACCCTTCAACAAAAGACCACAAACTGAAAGTTGTAAAGCAGTCAGTGTGTTTCACTTAAATAATATTTATTTTAGTAATGGACCTTGATATGTGTCACAGTGCTGGATGTGTCCTTGCACATTGCTCCTGCACGTTTACAGCACTCGACCAGTCACTCTCTCTCCACAGTAAAGGTTCATGCAGTGAACAGGCAGAGTCAAAATAAAGTTTAAAAAACATAGTTTTTATCCCGGTTAAGGAGTTCCTTTTTAAACAAAGGATTAATGAGTTAATGACAACACTTTATTATGATGATCCACTATAGATGCCCCACTTAAATATCAGTACGACTTTAAATTAAGACTACCCTTATAAAGGGTTTATGCATAGTTTAGAATCAGTGTAACACATTGATAAAAAGGCCAAAAGTGACCTGTTATAACTGATGAATATGAATATGTGATGATGCTGGCAGGTTCAATGCTGACTGATGGAGAACACAAAGTAAGATCAATAACAAGCAAAATCCTTTAACAGTATAAATGAATGTGAGTTCAGTATTAGGCAAACATATATTTGTGTTATTTAACTGCTCATGAATGATTGAAATCTGTTTATGACCTGATTGATACCTATCAAGTTTAAACCATTAATAACCCCTTTACGAAGGTAGTCTTCTAAATATCGATTTAAATTCAATAACCCTAATTTTAACCTAAAACATCAACCCTAGTCCAAAACCTAACTCTAATGCTGATGATTTGTGCATATGTAGGGGACCATCAAAGTAAAGTGTGACAGAGTTAATTAGTATCAATAATTATAAAACCAATATGGTAGCTTATAGTGTACATTCTGTGAAAAGCCACTGTGTTCATTTGAATGAATCATGAAGGGAAGGCCAAAGTGCAGAAAGTGGCTTTTCACTGTCTGCCAGCTACAGCTGACAGCAAACACTGTTTCTGAAATACACCGTCAGAGCCCCGACTCAGACAGCTTTACATACACAGAGCTTTGAGATAAGTCATAATGCTGACCTGCCATGAGCATGAACTGGTCCTGCTGTATCTCTGTATTGTAATGCTATGTGAGCCAGCGCACTTCCTTTAGTTAGTTCAGTATTTAACTTATAAATTAAATATTAGGCCACTTGGTTTTATCCTCCATCACTTTCTCTTAGGAGGCTCAAACCGGCTGCTTTCTCAGAGTCCATGAGTTCAAAATGGGGGCAGAATTACAGTCCTTTCCTCTACATGGCGGCTTCCATCTTATTCCTGGACACCATCATAGCTCTCTTCAGCTGCTCGAATGACACGAACATGACGATGTTCCAGGAGCCCAGTCTGAGGAAGGATGGTACAAACCTACAAGGAGACAGAAACAGTCATCCAGACAGAAAATTATGTTTAATCAGGGACGATTTATCATATTTATAAAAGTTTTAAAACTGGAATAGTCTCTAACTAAATAGACAAGTGGTGGACAAAGTTTGAACGCAGAGACACTCTTGCTAAATATTACTTGAGTAAAAGTAAAAATCCTCTATATTTTTATGAGTTAAAGTATAAACATTTCTGTTTTTAAATATACCCAAATGTTATAAGTGAACACTTATAAAAAAAAGATGTTTCTTCAGGGGTTCTTTAGTAAAGGGAACAATTCTATTTAGAATCATTCGTTCTATATAGAACCTTTTCATGCTTAAATGGGTCTTTGCGTGGTGAAATGGTTCCTCAGATTGAGAGACTGAGGCAGAATGTGTTGTATATGGTTCTTGTTTTGTAAATGGTTCCATATAGCACCAAAATGTTTTTATTTTTATTGTTATATACTCTTAACAAAAGATGGTGCTTCAATGGTTCTTTAGTAAAGCAAATGGTTCTATGTAGAACCATGAACACTCAAAAAACCCTTTGCATGATTAAAGGGTTCATTACATAATGAAAGGGTTTATTTGGAATGATGGAAAATGTGAATGAATGTGCTGTAGATGGTTCTTTAAAGAACCTTTTTGAAAAGGGTTCTCTATAGCACCCAAAAGGGTTCTTCTACTGTTACAAGCTGGACAAAGTAACAATAGAAGAACGCTTTTGGGTGCTATGTAGAACCATGTACAGCACGTTCTCCATCAGTCTAAAGAACCTTTTCATGATGCAAAAAAACCTTAATCATACAAAAAGGGTTCTTTGAGTGTTCATGGTTCTATACAGAACCATTTACAAAAGAACCCATGAAGCATCATCTTTTTTAACAGTGTATGCTTAACGTTGTAACAGTAACAGAACCCTTTTTGGTGCTATATAGAACCATATATAGACAGAACCATACATATAGACTGAATTAGGACTGTTAAACCCAGATAAATGTGGAACCTTATGGACTCTTCAATGTCAAGTATGTGAAGTGAGTGATCGGTTGGGTGGTTGATTGACTAGTGATTGTTTAGAGAGATAATTAATTTGATTTACCCTTTGTAGAAAGCAGTGGGGCCTTCTTTGGTCATCATGGTCCAGGCACAGTTGATGGCGCTTTTGTACTGGCCAGGAGGAGAGTTCATGTAACGAGTCTTCACCACGTCTACTGGAGAGGCTATCACCGTGGTGATGAAGCCAGCACCGAACGCAGAGAGGAAATGGCACGGCAGGTTATCTGAGGTAGAACAGTGAACAGTGAAGGTGAGGTCACCGTCTTAATGCACACAGTCTGACAGAAACGCTTGTGTAACCATTTTTTTGCCCTTTTGCATTAAGTCTGGAACAGAAGTGATAATGATTAGAGCACCTATGGGCCGATTGTCCCCTTATAGCCCCTAACATGTTGAGCAATAGTGTCTTTCTCAGAACCTGCTTACACAGACGAGCTATCAGCTGTTTCCGAGTTTCCTCACACCTTTGCCCCTGCATTCAGCACTGCCTGGCGCACGCTCAGGAAAAGAGTGCTGACTAACTGTACTTTTACTTCAGTAAAAGTCCGCCTGGGCAGAAAGTACATGTACTGTTACAAAGAGCAACTCGAGTTTTTAATACTTTTTTTTTAAATTACACTTTTTTCCTGATGATTATTTATTTACAATCAGCATGCATAGTGTTTTAATTAACATTTAACTACACTTTAAATAAAGATCTCTGAATGATTCCTGGCTTGGTCATATGGTTCTAGGAAAAAACATTTAACCTTTATATTGCATTGAGGTTCTTTTAAATAAACAGCTCTTTTACAAAACTGCTTCTTTACGGAACCAAAACTGGTCTTTGCTCTAAAGAAACCTTTTTGGCATCTTTGGTTATGTAACTATTGTGAAATCTCAATGTAAATCTCTAGGTAGACTATTAAAACGTCTCCTATAAATCTAAGTACAGTAACATGACATACAGTACTTGCAGTCTTACACCAGTGCCTCCTGAAACTCCATCTACGCTCAGATTAAGATTTGATCCTTGACCTTAACGGTTTCTCAGGGCAACCAAAAGCTATAGTTAAAGACCTTGGTGCAACACTGGATGCTAGTTTATCATTTGAGTCCCATATCAGTAGTATAAGCCTAGCTTTACACAATTTGCCCTTGAGTTGCATAACGTAAAGTGTTCTACAATTCACTTGAAACTCAGCTGTAACAGTTGCGAGTGTCACAACTTTGTGAAACAAGTCTCATGAAACAGTCAATAAAGACGCTGGTAATGCGTCACGTAATCTGTGTAAAACGACTTTATCTGTTGATGACCCCTAATTTTACACAGATTACACAGATAAAAAATACATATTAAATATGCAAATGTAAGTAAAATGTCAT